ACTCTTTCTCTAACATGGCCGGCCTTAGGGATTTATTGGGCTATTTGGGCCTTTGTGAATCATTATTCATTAAGTTGTCATACAACTTAAGTCAATGGACTTAACGTTCGAAGCCCATTGGGCCTTAAGGTCCAAAACTATCCCGAGGTCTTTTAACGAACTTATTCGTTTGATTAATAATCATATTAATTAATCCTTGCCATAAATAATTAAACCATTTAATTATTCTTACTCATCTCCGTTGAATCTTCAATCTCTACCTTACACGGTGTACGATCCATTAGGTTCCTTTTAGCGAGGCAGTGGGCGATTCAAACTCTTTCAAATCGATTGTGAATTGAAACTTACTTTCAATTCTCCCGTTAGTGATAATACACTTTTAGGGCTTCCACAAACCATGGTTGACGCCTAGCAGCATGTCATGGTTACCCAAGCTAATCAGAAGAGGTGGAGAACCTATTCAGTTTTAGGATTACAAATGCAATACGGTCTTTCTCTTCGTTGATCGTGTTCAGTGAACTCATTCTCTATTGAGCACCTACGTACTTGTCTTTATGTCACACACACCAATGACTCGAGACTAGTCACTCTCCCTGAGAGAAGACATAGCACGTACTGATCTTAACGGACTGTTAATGCCCAATTGACAATCCTATGATCAGGAACGTTTAGGATGTGTCAACGAAAGAATGGTCTCATGAATCTAACTTCTTTAGATCGCATTCTTCCAATCACATATTCCTTGGACTTATCGTTTAAGCATATAACATTTATATGAGACGGCTCAAACAATAATGTTTGCCTTTAATATTAAACTAGATTAGTTTAACATGTGAAATGTCCATAAAGTATCATCATATGATTGGTTTTAGGGCACATTTCCAACAGCAACTCCCGCGGAGCTTGAATTTTATCAAGAGTGTGAAGAAGGTAATTATTTTGTTTTTTATAGTTTGGTTTACAACTTTATATTAATTGGTTTACAATTAACGTTTGTTCTTTGTTGTAGAATATAAAAGAAAAAGAGCAAATACTATATCTATAAGTTCAACCATTTCACCAAGTGTTCCTGAAATTGAAGCAACTCGAACGAATAAAGGAAAATGAATTGCGGTAATATTTTAAACTCAAATGAATAAACTTTAAATTTCAATGAGGATAGATAATATGATGTTGGACGTTAAAAATGTCATGTTTATATTCTATTTTTGCTTATAGATTCATTGAGGATTGTTGTTGGAACTTGGGTGTTGGATGTGGTTTTGGATGTTAATTTGAAATTTATTGCGGATGTCATGTTTATGTTGTTTTGGATTATTTGATTCTTGGGATTTAGATGTCTTTGACTTTCGAATATTTTGTATATTTATTTGATTTTTAGATGTTGGATGATGTAATATTGTTATTTTGGATGTATTGTTAATCTATGAACTTGGATGTTGGACTTTGTATTTAGATTGGATGTGAATAATGGTGAATTTGTGCAAAATCTACATAAATGCGGTATGTGACTTTCTGCAGTTGTAATTTGTGCAGTTTGCAATCTGTGCAAATTTGTGCAGTTTGCAATATGTGCAAAATTCAAATATATGCAGTTTGCAATCTATACAATTTTTTTTTCAAACAAAAAAAATAAAATAAAATAAAGGGACCCGTGGACCCGACCCGTTTCAACTGGGTTGGGTAATGTCTGGTTCCTATATTAGAAAATGTAATCCCCGTCTTGGCCCGTTTCCTTTAAACCTAGGTCCAGTCTGGTCCCTTCAAAATTAGGCCCGGCCAGACCCGTGCCCAACCCTAGGTAGGCCGATTCCATATTAAACATCTGATAGATGAAATTCCGTTGTTTGGTTATATTTCCATTAAGGGCTTCCACTTGGTTATTATATGATTCAACGATCCAACCATTGGATTGTCACCAAAATTTAATACATAGTACATAATATTTAAGGATATTAGGAACTGACAGATCAGGAATCTGACGTACGGATCTTCTCGGATGGGTTTTCTAAGTTTGTAAATCTAAACGTTAGCCGCCACATAATTCTAGCGATTGGTGGAGATCCAACCGTAGGATCGTTTCGAAACTTTAGGATATTGTTCTAGAAGCTTATTGAAACTCTTGGGAAATTACGGATCTGAAATCTGAGCAGATCTTTTGGATCAAGTTACGTAGGGCTATGGACCCCACCGTCGACCTTTGACCGACGGTTGACTTTTGGCAATGGGTTACAAATCATTCTAGAACGTCCTTGGAGATGTGTTTTATGTAAGTTACGTGTTCTATCGATAAGAATTTTGAGACGTGATTTGATATTTGTTCTAGGCGACGATCATTCGTGATGCCTTTATATTCGTGCTAGGGAGTTGTAACGCAAATTTCAGGTGAGTGGGTATTTTCTTTTATATAGTATATACGTATTTGTTAGTTTCCATTTATACATTGAAAGAGAATTTCCTACGTATGCCTAGCTTAGACTAATGCTTATAAGAATTAGCAATATAACGGAAAATTACGAAGTGATCATAAATCCTACAAGATGCATATGTAAGCGTATGTTTATTGATGCCATGATTATACCTATGGCTCTGAATGATATTATGTTGTTAGAACTATAGAACCACTATGGCATGACTATATTTATGTTTTATGTTCATCGTTTGCTGCACCGATGTTAGTGCTCGTCTAGGGCTAGGGCCAATCTTTCATGTGTATGTTCACATCTATACCACACACTCGCCTTGAATCCAAGTAGGTGATAATCCTGTCATACAGGTTGCAATAGGCAACTTCAACTCGTATGTGACCGTGAATAGCGCCAGTCTTCACATGATTGTAGCACTAAAGCGTATATCATTATTATATCTAGTCATGTTCATGTCAGAATAACTCTGTATGAACTCGTGTGTTAGCATGTGTCGATGAACACTTGGTTTGATAGGTTTGCTTATGCAAAAGTATACGATTATTGACGTCATGCACTTATATATGAACTATTGTGCTGTATTGATATCATCATATTTTGTAGGCTACGGTGAGTATTTTCATATTATATGTAGTATGTATATCTTGGAAACTATACATGTTTTACGGCGAGGGATTATAACGTTTTCAAAGGTTTTTATTAAAACTTTATTTTTCAAGCCCACTCACCCTTATTTTTCGTCATTCTAGGTTTTAGTAGCTGAGTTTTCTTATCGATGAGGATTCTTGGCAAATCTTGGTGTAAGCGATTACCTTCTATGGTATAATTCTCACCCTATCTTATTGTACTGTACTGTACTTATGCTTTGACATCACATGTGAAATGAGTTCATTCCTGCTCACAGCGCACTCTTATATTTAGGCAATTTTTGGTTTAAATTTATTCACATATTCCACCTGTGACATCCCACATCGCCCAGGGGAGTGATCCTTATATGCATATTCCCATCCCTACCTAGCACGAGGCCTTTTGGGAGCTCACTGGCTTCGGGTTCCCTTGGAACTCCGAAGTTAAGCGAGAAGGGGGCTTGAGCAATCCCATGATGGGTGACCCATCGGAAAGTTCTCGTGTGAGTTCCCAAAAACAAAACCGTGAGGTCGTGGTCGGGGCCCAAAGCGGACAATATCGTGCTACGGTGGTGGAGCGGGCCCGAGAAGTGGTCCAGCCCGGGCCGGGATGTGACAATTTGGTATCAGAGCCTAACCCTGGTCGCGTGTGTGCCGACGAGGACGTTGGGCCCCTAAGGGGGTGGATTGTGACATCCCACATCGCCCAGGGGAGTGATCCTTATATGTATATTCTCATCCCTACCTAGCACGAGGCCTTTTGGGAGCTCACTGGCTTCGGGTTCCGTTGGAACTCCGAAGTTAAGTGAGAAGGGGGCTTGAGCAATCCCATGATGGGTGATCCATCGGGAAGTTCTCGTGTGAGTTCCCAAAAACAAAACCGTGAGGTCGTGGTCGGGGCCCAAAGCGGACAATATCGTGCTGCGGTGGTGGAGTGGGCCCGGGAAGTGGTCCCGCCCGGGCCGGGATGTGACACCACCACACTACATTTTATGATTTCGTTACCTTCCAGGTGTCGGCCAACACAACTTGATTTTAAGTCCAAGTGGATGTTCCGGGTCAGGGTGTGTCAAGTGGTCCCTTAACCTCAATTGGAGCAATGGTACCTTAACTAAAAATTCAGGATCATTGATATCTTAACTCATCAAAACGTGCAACTATAGTCATTTTCGTCAACTTCGTTAGAACTTCTATCAAAATAAGTCACGTGCCACCCATGTGGGACCGAATCAAGGGGCAAATGTGGGAAATTAAATGAGAAAATTGGAGAAATAATCCCTCCACTTTAAACCAATGGGAGAAATAGTCTCTTAATTTTTATTCAATTGTAGCAATGATTTTTCCAACATGACTCGTTTTAACGGAAGTTCTAATAGAGTTGATGAAAAAAACTATAGCTGCACGTTTTGAGGAGTTAAGAGATCAATGGTCATGAATTTTTAATTGAAAGACCATTGCTCCAATTGGATTAAGGTTAAAGGACCATTGCTACAATTTTCTCATAAAAAGAAAAAAATTTGCTTTGGAGTAACCTATACCCTAGATAAATGTTTGGTTAAAAATATAAAATGAAAATTTTACAGTTAAAACATTCGGAGTATTGGATTCTCGAAACACCCAAGTCCTTTGAATAAAAAGAAACGTAAGTACACAAAGAAAGACCATGCGCTACGCGTTCGGTGACCTCAAATACGGCATCCACGACTCGCACTTGCTTGGAAGTAGGAAGGAAGCTTGGAACTAGTTGGGATAAAAGCATCCTACCATTTTCTAATAATAAATAAATAAAATAATTCGTAATGCCTCTGAGCAATCCCGAATGATTCTTATCCCCAGGCGAATTTTCACATTGACTTGTACACTACGACAGCGTTTCGGGTGTAGAGTAATATTAAAATTTAAATACGGCTTATGCCGGTATCAGGTAAATTGTTGGGCAGTCCAGACAATTTTTCCTCCTCTTATTTTCTGCATACAACGCACCCTACCGCTTTATTCATCTCTCTCCTTCCAGCACAACTCTCTCTCTCTCTCTCTCTCTATAAGTTTGTTCCTTTGAGAAGGAACCAGCCCTTCATCGACTTCAAAGGTACGACTTTTCCTTCATTTTCTTAACTATTTCAGTTTCCCGAGCTTGATCGTCGTTTTATTGTTTCTGCACGATTTTTTTTATTTTATAATTTCTTCACATTTTTCTTAATTTTTTTTAAAGTTTAATTTTTGAGGTCCGATCGTCGTTTTCTCGATCGATTCTTGTTCTGCGTTTCTGATTGTTGTTGTTGTGGTGCCGTTTCCGGCCTCTGATCGTTGAGGTTTGCTTGTTTGGTGGTGCTGCTATATAAAATTGTTATATATATATACACACACACACACACATACATACACATCTATCTATATATATATATATATATATATATATATATCTGTCTACCCTTTGTTTAGGAATTTGTGATTTTTAGGTAATTTTTATTTTGTGTTAATGTAGATGCTGTATTGTGTAAAATGGAGCTGTGAATTGTAGTTGTTTGGTTTTATTCTGTTGTATAATAGTTCCAGCATGTATGTAATGAACCCGGGTGGGCGGATAATATGATGACCATTATGATAGTGATGGTTATTGCAATCGTAAAGTCACGCTCATGGGTTATTATTTATTCAGGGAGAATGATTTTGCTTTGTAACTAATATCAGGGTCTCAAATACTGTTTCGAAGAAAATGGTTATACCTCCCCTGCGGTTTAGTTTAGACCAAGGTTTGCTTGGTGGATTTGAGGGTTTTTAGATAATAAATTGTTCATTCTGGATTACCTTAGCATCGACTAGGTTTAGACCGTTCTTATTATGCAGGTTTTGGTTGTGCTGGTCATGTATCGTTATTGCATGCTCGTGTTGAGTTCGACTGAGAGGAAAATTATTACCCAAGTTCTGAGAGGTGATACAACTGCATCTGCAGGTGAGAGTTTCTTAGAGCCATATCCTTCTAAGGTTTGCGGTTCAGTATGGTGGTCAATATTTGTACATGATGGTTTACATTACTGTTTTTTTGTGTTGGCAATGTGTGTTTTCGTGGTGTGTGTGGGTTTGGGGAAGGGGGGGGGGGGTTAGTTCCTTTCATTCTCTGAATTATGAATAGCGTTGCAGGGACTTTTTGATCAATTCATCTTCTATAAAAAGGATATCAATTCAAGCCTTGTCTTTTCTTCAGGATTTATTGGTACGATCTGCTGCCAGCTGTAGTTTTGTGAGAGCACAGTATATGGTACTAACTACTAAAGACTTCGTTTTTACTTGCTCAACTACTAATGAACTGGATTTCACTTTAACTAGGTCTATCCACCTGACCTAGTGGAGGCCATATTTGAGATAGAAAAAATGTAGCCTTGATGGTGATAGTGTCATGGTTTTTAGATCGGTAATGCCTGGCCCTCTTTTTACTGATGGAAAAAGTCAGAGTTCAATGCTGTTTAGGGAGGTCTTTGATCTAAACTAAGCACACAGGATCTTACTTCTGTTTGCATTATGCATACTAAGGTGATGGAGAGGTTGGCTATAATATAATGCATTGGGAAAATTCAATTTACTACATAAAGTTTCTGTGGTCAATTCATTCTTCTCATTTTCCTAGGATTTGGAGTTACCTCTATGATGTTTCGGTACGTTGGTGTCAAATAGAGCAGTGAGCTGATGGATATACTGATGATTGTGTGCTTAGGAGTTGTCAATGGATGGCAAACATACGGACCAGCTTTTGATACATTGATACATACCATATCTGGAGAATCTTGTGCTCAGGTGATGAGACGGAACCATGTAGTTTGGTTTGAATGTGGAGTTTTCTAGTGCCACTTATCATTACCCTTGTGGTGGATGATTTGCCCGTGAGTAAGGAAAAACCATCACTAAGAACTCTGAGGAGCTGATGTTTGTAGCACTGATACACAGAGCTTGGTGCCCTAAGATTTGTGTAGGCTAACTGGGTGGAGTGAGTAGTTGGGGTCTTGTACATGTCATACCTGGATGGGAGGTAGTGGGCTTCTAACTCATAATTGGTGGTTGGGGTTTCTTCAGATTGGCATAGGTTATCGGGTGGATGGCACCCTTGACTCGTGTACCGTTTCTTTTCTGTATTCCACATGGATAAAATTTTCCAGATTTGAGATTATGAGAATATCCTGGTTACTTTTTAGGACATCATCTTGCTGAGGAGCCTCTGTGGAGAGAGAGTTTTGCAAATACTAATATCCTTTCTTCGGCGATCTCCATGCCTATCTTTTAGAGTGCAAGTATACTGACTATGTGTACTCTATAGCTTCAAGTGCCAAATGTCTCAAGATGCGTATGATGTGAAGACAACACCCTTTAAGTCTTCGGACGAAGATTCTCTTCATATTGGGCTGTGGGATTTTGTAAGTGTAGAAACTTTTTGTAGACAGAGAAGGCTCCAGGTTTAAGCAATACATATATTTGATGGTTATACTAACTTGATCTTGTGGTTTGACAGTTTGAAGTTTATATCTAGTGTTACTTTCTGTTCAGTGACTTAACCTCATCTTGGTATTTTACATGATAGAAAGGTATTGTGGGCGGGAATATAACTTTGACAAATTTTGTATTATTGATTTATGTTTAATTACTTGATTACCTAGTTTTAAAAAATTGTTTAAAACAGCAATGGTATAGTATGTATTTTTTACAATCAATCTACAAAGGCTCTCTTCCATTTATTTTACTTTTTTATCTCAACTTATTTTATAATATACTAATTGTAACTTTCATTCATAATATTTTCAGCTTTCATCTGGAACAGTTCCAACCTTTAACCTTGATGAGAGCATCTCTTTAAATGTCTTTAGGGCTGAAAGTATTAAGAACTGTGCCTTTTTTTCCCAGAATTTGGAGGCGAGGGGCCATGTGGTAGTGGGTTTTCAGGTCTTAGTTTATATATTCTAAAATTCTCCTGTTGATATTTGGATATCAAGAAATAGTTTAAAAATCAATATAGTGTGTTATTGAGATTGTTACATCTTTACACCTGCTAGGTGATCTCTAATCCTGTCATTCAAAGTCCAAACGCAGGTAATATCTTCAAGGAAGGTCCTGATTCCATCTTTCACATCTCACTTTCAGCTAATTATTTCTTTACACTTTCCATTCTTTTTTATCCCTCAGAAAAAAATGGCTCTCCCTATTATCATTGGAAAAGCCATCTTATTGGAGAGGAATGCAAGTGTCAAGGGAGTTGGTTGACAGTGATATAGGGTGCTAGCCTTTGCGTAATTAGGCTTCACAGATCCTCTGCAGCACAATTGTTTTAAGCAGAACAAATCATGACTTTTACTTCAGTATTGGCCTTGAATAGAACAGAGATTGGTGGGTCAAAGGGTGAAACCATATTTATAGGCAGGACTCCTGGTCAAGTAACTATTTGGTGATGTTGTGGCATATTTTTCGTACTTAGTCAAACTATTTTGAAATTTTTTGATTGGTGTGTGAAGCTGGAACTTGCTGGAATAATTTGTTTAAATAAACTGCATTTTCCTTTGCCCATCTCTAGAAGTTAAATTTATCTACATCTGTGTTGGTTGCCCTCTTCAGTTGTTGGAACTTGATGACCAGTTTTAATTTCTTTGAAACCTGTCTGGCTTTGGTTTGAGGGTTCTTTTCTTATCTGGCTTTGGTTCGATGGTTCTTTTCTTATCTTGTGAAAGAGCTGAAGGCAATTTCTTTAATGTAATTTGTATGAGGATGCTGATTCCTTTCTCCCATCCACACTCTGAGTTACACAAGAATTCTCGTTTGCTTGTTTAGAAAAGTAAAATACTTATTACAATCAATATTTTTGTAATGGGCTACTTATCAAGAGTTTATAGCTAACAGTTCTAACTTCTTACTGTACTGGCCTAGATGTGGGCCTTCATGTGTTATAAATGCAAAATGTTGAAAGAAGAGATTTGCATGCATGATTAACCTTAGAAGTATCTAATAATGGTGACGTTTCAAGAAAATCTTTGTTGGATACAGCGCTGATTTGGGGTAAAGGCGCGCAGAAATTAATACTAATATATTTTTCATTTTTAAATAAATAAATTTTTATAAGTGACATTTATTTAGATGTATCTTCTGAAACTAAAGTTTTGATGTGACATTCTTAGGTTGATGTTGGAAAATCTTGGATCTTTTCAAAATCCTTAAAACTGTTGAGGATGCTGTTATATAGCTGCCCTTTTTACTTGCTCAATGCTCATTAGACTTTAAATCTGTTTAGTTGGCCTTCGTTGGTATTTATCTGTTTCTGCTATCTTCTAACTTTAAACATTCTGGTTACTTACTACTTGCACTGTATTTGTACAAAAATATGTTTTATTTTATTATTTATCAATACCAGCTTACTTTCACACAAGTAATTACAAGTTTGGTTGAAGTTGTGTTGAGATTTGAGAATAACAAAGAAAGTTAAAAGATGTTGCCCTTGTTTTGGAATTAAAGTATGTAGGGGAACCTGCAGCACTGCTCTCATTCCTTTGTTATTTGTCCAATATTTTATGATTCCTGCATGCGTATCGTGACTCTCGCAGTCTGAAAAGTAATGAAGTTGCTTTTCTATGTTTTGAGGTGCCTTTCCCTTCTTTGTGCAGGTTGTGGTTTTATTTGGTAGATTCTATTTCCAGCTCATAACTTGTTCGTGGCTGTAAGCTGACGAAAGTTATGGGGCATAGACATCAGTTCAGCACATCTCATGTTTTTGAAAGTGAAAATGATCAGAATTGGAATCATATGAATACGGAAGAACCTTTTGGGCATTTAGGTACTGTCTTTATTTTCCTCGAGTATATTCTTTTTTTCCTTTTTTCTGGTCTATAATTGCAAAAATTTTTTGGTCGTTTATGAGTTTTGAGTGTATTTACCTTGAATATCTGATCTGTGGAATATCTTTTGTATTCATGATTAACTGTATCTGATTTTGGACCAAATACTGCAGGCCAGGCTGGCTCTGGGGAGAACGGTTCTTTCTTTTATCCTGTAGAAAATATGTTTATAGATGGAGCGCCTTTTGCTTCAAATTGGAACCCGGCTCCAAGGTCATATGGGTACTCTTCCATGAACCACAATATTGATGTACCACATTATCAACCTGATGCTACTGGTCCATCTCATGACCCTTTTCAGCATCCAATAAGTGCTGGTACCTTTGGCATGTCCAGTGGGAATTATGCTCACCATGCACCTTCTTCTAGTTATGACCGACGTACATTCCATGGTGTTGAGGGTAGTTTTGTTGATCTTACAGTGAGCAACGGAAGAGGTCCTCACAAGAGAAAAAGCCCAGGGATCCCTTCAGTATCTGAGAGAGGCAGCACCAGCAGATACTATAGTGCTGGAAGTAGTTCCTCTGAGCTCCCTAGATCTTCAGAGTTGCAGCAGGAGAAAGTAAACATGGATACCTCACACGTGCCTTGGGATCACATTTCTATGGGCCCCAGCTATAGAGGGAGTGGACTCTCAATTAGGGGTGAAGGATCCATGAGAAATGTGAGAAGCCGGTCTGAACATGATTTGGAGTCCAACCTAGCGAGGACACATTTATCGACCAATCCTTTGCACACTTCTTATTCTACAAATCTCCCTATTGACCATTCTAGTACAATGGATCTCTCTGGTCAGGGTTCCACTGGTTTGACGAATGAGTGGAACCATATTAGTGTGGCTCCTCATGGAAGGATTATAGCTCCAGGTTAGTTTTTGGTTCATTTGTGTCTTGTGTCCAGGGTCATGCTACTTTTTACTGATTGATTTCTTTTAAATTGCAGATTCAAGTGGTTTCGGTCATGATCCGAACCACTTCCTTGTGGGAAGTAGTGGTAATGCTTCTACGGATACTGGGTTATACCATCATGATTTCATGTTGAGCAGAAGTAATGCGGTCCCTCAAAGTTATCCTGGTGCCTTAGCCCCAACTGTAAGGGGTGTTCGCAGTACCTACTCTCAAAGATCTACCCCAGCCTTCAGGGCTTCTTCAAGCAACTTGCGATTGGGACATGTAGCACATTCAGATGAAGGGTTGCAGCTGATGCCAGAAAATTACCCAAGACATCCTAGGCCAGTGGCCTCTGTTGGGTGGCGTCATAATGACAGGAGTGGTAGATTGAGGATGTCTAATGATAGATACCGAGTCCCTGAAGCGTCTGCTCTCCAGGAGCGGTTTACTTCTGAGGTATGTAGTTCAATTGCTGCATGTTAGCATGTCTTGTTATTTTCAAGAAGGTTGCAGCTTGTTTGTGATAGTCAGAAAACGCTTCGCCGTTTTCCCAGTCAGTGCATACGTATTGTTGTGTATGGACAATATGCTCTTATGAAACTTATTTTACTGTTAATTAAAGCTTTTGAAATTTGATAAAGCTAATAAAATTCTTTTGTATATCGTAAATCTTGTTTAGCACTGAATACGGATGAGCCAATTGTTCATTTACCACTGCAGGGTTTTATGACTGTGGATCGCCCAGCCTTTTATGGGTCCAGAAATATGCTTGATCATCATAGAGATATGAGGCTGGACATAGACAACATGAGTTATGAGGTAACATTGATATTCCTGCCTTTATTAATTTGCTCTTCCTACGGACTTTCATGTATTCTGAATTTCTTGAAATGTCCAAACAAACAGGAACTCCTCGCACTTGGCGAAACAATTGGGAATGTGAGCACAGGCTTGTCTGAAGATCTGATACCGAAGTGTTTGACAGAAACAATATATTGTTCATCAGATCAAATCCAGGAGGAAGTCTCATGTGCAATTTGCCTGGTAAGAGTAACACTTGAAACCGAAAATTATGAGACTGCACTTTCAGTTCGTGCGGTTTTATCTTAAGCTTTTTAGACCAATTCGACGATAAATTACTTAACTGCTGAAAAACTAATTAGCATTTTTCCCTAATTGACAGGAAGAGTACAATGACAGGGATGATGTTGGTGCGCTGAAAAGTTGCGGTCACGATTACCATGTGAGCTGCATCAAGAAGTGGTTGTCAATGAAAAACTCTTGTCCAATCTGCAAAGGTTGTGTTCTTCCTGATAATATGAAGGAGAAATAATTTAATCGCATTGCTAGCGGCTTCATTATATTTCCATTCTTGTATATATATTTAGAGATAATCCCGAAAACGGGGGAAGCAAACTTGTTGCGCATAATTTAAAGAGAATGTTAGCCAATTTAAATTTATTTGTTTCAGGCTTCAATTTAAATGTTGTGAAGCCTTTTTGCAACTCTTGTTCTGTATGGGGCTTTAGTGGATGGATTTATTTTTTTATTTTTGTTTTATGAGTCCATTCTTCTGAATCTTTCCTTTTAAAACTGAGAAGCTAGCTAGTTTATGATGAAAAGGGATAAACCTTAAGAAAAAAGAAGGGAAAGACGAACTCTGGTTTGTTGGTTTTGGTTTTCTCACTTTTTTTCTTTGATTTTATTCTGTATCCAGCCTAATGCCAACCCAACCCAACCCATTTCATGAATAAAATGTGACCAATTAACCAACCAACAAAACTACTTGTCACAAATAATATTTTTTGTTGCATCGAAACATATAAATGTTGACTAATCTAACTAACATTAAACTATTCAATCAGACGACTAAAAATTGATAGATGCATGTATGGGGACGACCAGAAATTGATAGATGTGTCTAGGCCTGGCAAACGGGTCGTGTCTGTCGTGTTCGTGTCGTTTTCGTGTAACACCTGTTATCTTAACGGGTCGTGTCGTGTCACACCCGTTATCTTAACGGGTCCTTAACAGGTGGGTAAAGTGACCCGACCCGTTATGACCCGTTAAGAAAAAAATATATTTTTTTTTTTAATTTGCACATATCACACATTGTCACATAAATATTACATCAAAACATTAAAACATTTGTCGTTTAAGTATTATATCTACATTCGAAAATAAGAGCCTAATAAAAAAATAATACATACACTACTAATCTATTACAAATATTAAATGTGCAAAGATATGCAAAATGAAAGAGTTTTTGTTTTCAAAATTGTAAGTCTTAATCAAAAGTTTACACCTCTATCTACAAAATCTTCAATTTACATCGATCATCATGAAATTGTATTGAAACTTTGGCTTCATCTATTGCCTTGAAGAGTTATGTTGAAGATGTTTTCAGTAAGGTTTTCCACGTCAAAACTCTCTTCCGCATAAACTAAGTATAGAAAAACCAAACATTAAAAATCATTCAAATTATGAGAAGTTCACCAAAATAATTATGAAAAGAAATAAAATAATAATACTATACCATATAAAAATTTATTAAAATAACCGTTAAATCATGATTTTTGGTATATAACCGTCGAAAAACTTTGTTCCATTCCTTGATCTCTGAATGTTTGTTTTTTGTGATTTTTTGTTGATGTGATCTCCAAGCATATACAAACAAGTTTGATGGTTTGGATCGTTGAAATTAGTTTTGGAGAATTCGTATCCCAATAAAACGATAGATTGACTAACACTTAGAGTTTATTTATACTTTCATTAAGTACAACATAAGATTTTGTGGTATCCACTTATGTAAATATTTTAAATTGAAGATCGAATTCATTCCTTGTATTCATATAGGGTCAAGGAGTGTACCTGTAAAAAATTATCAAAATCGGAGTTAAAATAACCGTTAAATCGTGATGTTTCGTTTATAACCGTCGAAAAGCTTTGTCCCGTTACTTAATCTTTGAATGTTTGTTTTGTGTGATTTTTTGTTGATGTGATCTCCAAACATATACAAACAAGTTTGACGGTTTGGATCGTTGAAATTAGTTTTGGAGAATTCGTATCCCAACAAAACGATAGATTAACTAACACTTAAGAGTTTATTTATACTTTCATTAAGTACAACATAAGATTTTGTGGTATCCACTTGTGTAAATATTTTAAATTGAAGATCAAATTCATTCATTGTATTCATATAGGGTCAAGGAGTGTACCTGTGAAAAATCATCAAAATCGGAGTTAAAATAACCGTTAAATCGTGATTTTTCGTTTATAACCGTCGAAAAGCTTTGTCCCGTTACTTGATCTCTGAATGTTTGTTTTTTGTGATTTTTTGTTAAAGTGATCTCCAAGCATATACAAACAAGTTTGACGGTTTGGATCGTTGAAATTAGTTTTGGAGAATTCGTATCCCATCCAAACGATAGATTGACTAACACTTAGAGTTTATTTATACTTTCATGAAGTAGAACAATAGATTTTGTGGTATCCACTTGTGTAAATATTTTAAATTGAAGATCGAATTCATTCATTGTATTCATATAGGGTCAAGGAATGTACCCGTAAAAAATCATCAAAATCGGAGTTAAAATAACCGTTAAATTGTGATTTTTTGTTTATAACCGTCGAAAAGCTTTGTCCCGTTACTTGATTTCTGAATGTTTGTTTTTTGTGATTTTTTGTCAATGTGATCTCCAAGCATATACAAACAAGTTTGACGGTTTGGATCGTTGAAATTAGTTTTGGAGAATTCGTATCCCATCAAAACGATAGATTGACTAACAGTTTATTTATACTTTCATTAAATATAACATAAGATTTTGTGGTATTCACTTGTATAAATATTTTAAATTGAAGATCGAATTCATTCATTGTATTCATATAGGGTCAAGGAGTGTACCTATAAAAAATCATCAAAATCGGAGTTAAAATAACCGTTAGATCATGATTTTTCGTTTATAACCGTCGAAAAGCTTTGTCCCGTTACTTGATCTCTGAATGTTTGTTTTTTGTGATTCTTTGCTGATGTGATCTCAAAGCATATACAAACAAGTTTGATAGTTGGGATCGTTGAAATTAGTTTAAGAGAATTCGTATCCCATAAAAACAATAGATTAACTAACACTTAGAGTTTATTTGTACTTTCATCAAGTATAACATAAGATTTTGTAGTATCCACTTGTGTAAATATTTTAAATTGAAGATCAAATTCATTCATTGTATTCATATAGGGTCAAGGAGTGTAGCTATAAAAAATCATCAAAATCAAAGTTAAAATAACCGTTAAATCGTGATTTTTCGTTTATAAGCGTCGAAAAGCTTTGTCACGTTACTTGATCTTTGAATGTTTGTTTTTTGTGATTTTTTGCTGATGTGATCTCAAAGCATATACAAACAAGTTTGATTGTTGGGATCGTTCAAATTAGTTTCGAAGAATTCGTATCCCATCAAGTTCCAAGGGTGTGTGTCTATATATATATATATATATATATACATATAGAGTAGTATATCACGTGTGTCATTATAAAAATAGTGAGATATGTCATATGTGTGATAAAAAGTTAATAACTTTAAAAAAAAAAAAAATTCTCACCACTTCTATTAATTTTCATTTTTCCCTCTCTTTTTTGTTTCCTTTTCAACTTTTCTTATAATTTTCACTTTTCCCTCTATCATCTTTCCCTATTTCCCTCACTTTTTTGTTTCATTTTCAACTTTTCTTATCATTTTCATTTTCCCTCTATTTTTCTTCAAAAAGGGCGGCAGGAATGGAATGGAATCAAATCAATGGATGCATCATGCATCATGCATATTAATTAATAATTATTATAGTTTTTATAAAATTTAATTCAAAATTTAATATATATATATATATATATATATAATTATATAATTATTATAGATAGTTAATATTTTGGGGGTATAATTATTATAGTATATATAATTATTATAATTATTATAGACTTTATAGTTAATTTAATATATATATATATATATATATTTATTATAGTTTTTAGGGGTATAACATTGTTAAATTAATGTATATAATTATTACAGTATTTTTTTAGGGTTATAAAATTATAAAAATAATATTCTGCTTATCGTGTATCGTGTTACCCACGTGTATACCCGAATCAACCCGTTATCTTAACAGGTGCTTATCGGGTTACCCGATAACGACCCGATTCGTTATCGTGTCGACCCGAACACCTGTTAATTTCGTGTCGTGTCGTGTCGGGTTATCGGGTCGTGTCAGGAATTGCCAGGCCTAGATGTGTCCAAGGGTAGAATCAGAGTGACAATTTATTTGGCTATATTTAGTTTTGCTTGAGCTAAATTACACAATCAGAGAACAATAATTTATAAACAATTTGCCAGTCATTAAAGTCGAGTTTAAGATACAAGCGGAGATGAATTTTATTGAATTACTCAGATGCAAATGACATTTCAGTTTTTAAATCTTACATGGTTGATAATTAGACTTTTTAGTGAAATTTTTAGGGTAAATTACACTCATACCTCAGGTTTGGTGTCTCTTTCAATTTCTTACAACATTTTCAAAACATTTCACTTTCATACCTTAAGTACTATTTTATTTCAAAATAATACCTTTGTTACATTTTTCATACATTGATCCGTTAAGTGATGACGTAGCTGCTAAATGTATTACACATGGCAAAAAAAATATTAAATTTTTTTTTAAAACCTTAAATCTTCAAAAAATAAAAAAAAATAAAAAATAAAAAATAAAAATCAAAAGCTGCAACACATCCCTGCAACTCACCCCACCCATTATTCCTTCCGCCCCCCTCCACCCCTCCCGACGCGCAAACAACCCACCCAAAACCACCTTCCTCCATGACCCACCTCACCCAAAAACCCACCCTCCGCACCCAACCTCTTCTACACATCCCACTTCTTAAATCCACACCTATTGGGAGGATCTGGGTTGCAGGGAAAGGAGATGGTTTTTTTTTTTTTTTTTTTTTTTTTTTGTCCTTTTCTTTTCTGGGTTGCAGGTAATGGGTGCGGAGGAGGAGGTGGAGGATGGGTGCACAGTGGGTTTGGGGAAGACGGGAGGGAGAGGAAAGGGGTGGTTTTTTTTTTTTTCTCTCTTCTTCTTGGTTGCGGGTTGGGCTCGGGTTTTTGGGGGGGGTGGGGGTGGGTGGGGATCGGAAGATGGGTGCGTAGAGGATGGGTGTGTGGAGGAGGATGTGGAGGATGGGTGGGAGTGGTTTTGGATTTGGGTTGCAAGTAGGGACAACGAATGGGGATGATGATGAAAGGGATGGGGTTTCGGCGGCGCCCGGGGGGGCGGGGGAATTAATGGGTTTTGGTTTTGGGGGAAAGGAATAATGGGTTTTGGTTGTAGGGATGTGTTGCAGCTTTTGATTATTATTTTTTTTTTTTGGAAGATTAAGGTTTTTAAAAAAAAAAATCAAAAATTTTGTTTTTTGCCATGTGTAATACATTTGACAGCCACTTCAGTACTTAAAAAATCAATGGATGGAAAATGTAATGGATATATTATTTTGAAATAAAACAGTACTTAAGGTGTAAAAATAAAATATTTTGAAGATATTGTAAGGAATTGAAATAGACTCCAAACCTGAGGTATGAAAGTGTAATTTACCCAAATTTTTATTATGAGTACAATAAGACATTTGTTTTTAATTTTATCTTGCTAATGAACATGGCAAAACAAGGCTTTCAACAATTAAGATTTTATGATTAATTATCTATTTATTTGACACTTTGTATGATTGTGAAATGGTAAATTAATACCGCTATCGTTTTTGGTAAAAAAAAAAATGCTACAGCAAATGTCCCTCTCGCTTAAGTTTTACCAAAATCAGGCGGTGTTCAATTGCTAATGTTCAAACTAATTTGTTACAACATTGCTTAATACCAAATAATGACATTCACATTAAACCTGGCAAACATGTGGAATGTGTCGTCTTGATGTTAACACGTCTCTTTAATGGACAAAGATTTTTTTTTCCTTCTCCTTTCCTCTTTTCCTGTTTGAACGTTTAAAATTTCATCTTTGTAGAGAGAGAAGAAAAAAATAGAAAGAGAAGAAAAAAAAAACTGTGAGAGAAGGGGAAGGAGGGGAGGGAAATAGAGAGGGGAAAGAATCCCCATAATAGGTCATAAGGTGTGACATCCACACATCTCTTTTTACTTCTCACACATCATTTGGATCGAATGAATTAATGACAATCAAATGACATAAATTAATAAGAGGTGTGTGAGAAGTAAATAGGAATGTGCTATCCACACACCCCTAGATCATAACTTGTTAGTCCACTAAGAACTTTTTCTTTAACAAATGGACCATAAAACTTCATTTCAAAGGGACAATACCAACACCAATCTATAAAACCGAAAATGACTAAAATCTTCTAATGTTGTAAAAGTTGTGGGATTGCCCGCATAATTTGACTGAAAATAAATGTAATGAAGACCAAAAACAGTAGTGTAGATGTATTGTCAAATTTTATTATTGCTGAAAGGCATAACTTTTCAACATCCATTAACTTCTCTGGTAGACTTTTGTATACTTTTATATGTAAATGACTTCATATAAAGAGCATGCGAAGTTTGATTGAACTACACACAAGATCAAAAGCAAATAGTGATAATACCAGTCTCCCTCCCCTATCTTTACCCACATTCATTGTATGATACAGTTACGAAAATAAACAATGTGATAGATTGCTCTCCTTGCCACTTCGATCTCTACTAAAGGTTATCTTTCTCACTTTTGCCTATTTATAACACGTTATTAGTGCGACTCTCTATCCTTAACGAGTTTTCATTTTCTTCGTCGAAAAATGTTTCCTATAAGGATCTTATTGTTCCTTTTCCTTCTCTTCCTTACTTGCTTTGTGATCCCTCGCCACCACAATGAAGAGCTGCTACCATCATGCTTTCTCCTAGTCCTCAATTAATAATTACTTATATTTTTTATTTTTTATTTGTTGTAGCCCCTAATTACTAACCCAATGTTTATTTATGTTAATTTTACTGCAAGTTTAGATGTGCAGTATAATCGCTCATCCTGCACTGCATATTTAATTTTATTGCAATTTTAGATGGTGCGGTATAATCGACCATCTTGCACTACATATTAATTTTCCTGCTACTTGAATGGTGTGGTATAATCGCTCATTCTACATTACATTATTCTAATGAGAGTGGTGTTGTACAGTCGATCTCCTCGTTAATTTTCCTTCTTTCTGGTAGTAATACTCGACATTGATGGCAGTCTCTTTGTAGTGAGTATTACTAACTGCCTAACAATTTTTAATAAATGTCTAAATTATGTTAATCTCAAGTCTGAAGTTTCAAGTGCTTATCATTTTAGCCTGAAGTTCAAAAATAAAAAAAAAATTGTATGAACTAGAAGTTCTAACACTACATTTCTCTAGAATCCATATTATTGCAAGGTCTTACACATCTTATTTTTCTTTTAGAGAAAGAAAATGGTGAATTTGGCAAAGCTTGATTTTGTCACCCATGACAACACTAGAAAGAACTACCTTACCTGGGTTGTAGATGTCAAGGTTCATCTTGAGGCACAAAATTTTGGGGACACCATTAAGAAAGGAAACCTTGCATCCTCCCAAGATCGGGCAAAAGTCATGATCTTTATTCGCCACCACATCTAGGAAGGATTGAAGAGTGAATACATGACGGTTGAAGACCCATTGGCTCTTTGAAATGCATTGAAAGATAGGCATAACCACTAGCAAACAATGATTTTCCCAAGAAATGGGTATGGTTGGACACATATGCAAATCCAAGATTTAAGTCGGTCGCTAGTATAATTTTGCAATGTTTATAATCAACTCGAACATAAAACTTTGTGGGGAATAATATCACTGAAGTAGACATGCTGGATAAATCAAGGATAATACCAACCTCCCCCTCTCTTTACCTGCATTCATTGTCTCATATAGTTACTAAAACAAACAGTGTGATATTTTGCTCTCGTTTCACTTCGATCTCTTCTCTAGCAAAGATTCTCTCTATCACTTTTGTCTATTTAACACTAATCACGCACTATACAAAATTATTCATCTTTTTGAGATTCAAAAGTCAATGATGCAAATTGTCGGATGGTCTTCTAGTAACATTCTTAACGGTTAATTGTATGATGTTGACATGTATAACTCACATGTTAACATAGCATTCTCTAAGTTCAAACAAAAGGGAAAGGATGATGCTATTCATATACCTAATTTTACCTCTCATATGATTTTAATAAAAACTTGTATTTCACTTTAAGTCTGGTTCAATATGAATATGGGGGCAAAAGGAAGGGTAGTCTACTCGTTCAACTGAAAGAAGCTACGCTGGCTACACCTTTCTCAATTTTTGACCGCCTAATGAAAGAAGAAGATCATAAATAAAAATTGACAAATTTTTTACCGTCGAATCGAATTAAGAAAATTAATAGACAAACAAATTAGAAATTCAATTACCTTGGCGACTAAGAAACTAAGGAAAAGAGAAGGTAAACCGTCGAATCCAATAAAGAAACGTAAAAATTAGAGGTCAAGAATTGTTGGCACTTGGCTACCTAGAAATATCTGGGCCGTTCGCTTCACCTGCTTTTCTCGTCCACACATACCTCGTCCTCTCCGGAATCCTACTAAGAATAGGATTTAGAGTCGGTTTATCTTCCCTATATAAACTCCTCTCGCCCTCTTCTCCTCCTCGCAATTCTCTCAACGATTTCTAAGTCGTTCCCAAATCTCTCTCAAATCCCTCTTTCGAAACCCTCTCGAATTTCAATTCCTCTTTTCTGAAATCATGCAGATCTTTGTGAAAACCCTAACCGGGAAGACCATCACCCTGGAAGTCGAGAGCTCCGATACCATCGACAACGTTAAGGCTAAGATCCAAGATAAGGAGGGCATCCCTCCCGATCAGCAGCGTCTCATCTTCGCCGGAAAGCAGCTCGAGGACGGCCGGACCCTCGCCGATTATAACATCCAGAAGGAATCGACCCTCCATCTGGTGCTTCGTCTCAGGGGAGGTATGCAGATCTTCGTCAAAACCCTAACCGGGAAGACGATCACCCTCGAAGTCGAGAGTTCCGACACGATCGATAATGTTAAGGCCAAGATCCAGGATAAGGAGGGAATTCCCCCTGACCAGCAGAGGCTTATCTTCGCCGGGAAGCAATTGGAGGACGGCCGAACCCTAGCCGACTATAACATCCAGAAGGAGTCGACTCTCCACTTGGTTCTCCGATTGAGAGGAGGTATGCAGATTTTTGTCAAAACCCTAACGGGGAAGACAATTACTCTGGAGGTCGAGAGCTCTGATACCATCGATAACGTGAAGGCCAAGATCCAGGATAAGGAGGGCATTCCCCCGGATCAGCAGCGGTTGATCTTCGCTGGCAAGCAATTGGAAGACGGCAGGACTCTGGCGGATTACAATATCCAGAAGGAGTCGACTCTCCACTTGGTGCTGCGATTGAGGGGTGGTATGCAAATTTTCGTGAAGACCCTAACCGGGAAGACAATTACCCTGGAGGTCGAGAGTTCCGATACGATTGATAACGTGAAAGCAAAAATTCAAGACAAGGAGGGTATTCCACCAGATCAGCAGAGATTGATCTTTGCCGGTAAGCAATTGGAAGATGGCAGGACTCTGGCAGATTACAACATCCAAAAGGAGTCAACTTTGCATCTGGTCCTTCGATTGAGGGGTGGTATGCAGATTTTTGTGAAGACTCTTACCGGGAAGACTATCACTCTGGAGGTTGAAAGCTCGGATACTATTGACAATGTGAAGGCGAAGATTCAAGACAAGGAGGGTATTCCTCCTGATCAGCAGAGGCTTATCTTTGCTGGGAAACAGTTGGAGGACGGCAGGACCTTGGCGGATTACAACATCCAGAAGGAGTCGACTCTTCATCTTGTGCTCAGGCTTCGTGGTGGTATGCAGATATTTGTGAAGACACTGACAGGAAAGACGATCACTCTGGAGGTTGAGAGCTCTGACACTATTGACAATGTCAAAGCTAAGATTCAGGACAAGGAGGGTATCCCGCCGGACCAGCAGAGATTGATCTTCGCTGGGAAACAGCTCGAGGATGGTCGTACCCTTGCCGATTATAATATTCAGAAAGAGTCTACGCTCCACCTTGTCCTTCGTCTTCGTGGTGGTGATTTCTGATGCGTCTTCGTGGTGGTGATTTCTGATGGAGAACTTTGTTATGCTTTAGTTGTTTCTTTTTTTTTGCTGAATGATGGTGGTGTTTTATGTTGATTGGCAAGTCTGCCATTTTCTGTTTTTGGGGTTTGTGGGTGGTGTTATGATTTTCTAATTTGTCAAAACTCAGTTTGGATTGAATGAATAATCTTAGTTCTGTAAACACACATGGGAGTTCCCTTTCTTTCCAACGAATATGTGGTATATAACTTTTATCTTGCTTCTTCTTGGTGAACTTTGAACCAAACTTTTCTTCATAGGCAGCTGTGACAGCGTGAATTGTGAATTGATCATTCTTATTTCAAGGAGGAGTTATTGGATAACAGCTAACATTTTACTTGCTGTTTCTAACTGCGTAGCTTTGCAGTATACAGATTGAAACCTCCCTCGTGCTATAATTTTATTTTGGAGTCATAATGTAATCTATGCAGTTTCTGTCCCTCTCTCAAGAGTCTACCCCTGTCTTGTTCTCCGTCTTTGTTTTTGTTTCTCTCGTTTTGTTATTGTGGTGATGATTGTGTTGTGGTAGTGTTAATTTTTCAATAAACCAATTTACCATGTTCCGTTTGTGGGTTTGTGGCTGGTTTCTTTTGTCTTTTATAAATCTCAGTTTGACAGTGAATCAGTAATTTTTGGTTCTGTTAACTTCATGTGCTTCCCCTTCTTTCCATTTGTGTTGTGGATGCAAAGTTGCTTAGTTTTCTTTAATAATTTCCTTCTTTCAATGTTTTTGGACGTGTTCTGCTTTGTGATCCTTTGAACTGGTGAAACATGGAACAAATTTTTCTTCTGAAAGTCGATTAGTCTATTCCTATGCATGTGGTCATTGGTTGTGTGCATTTATCAAGAATATTTTTTGTCATCTTAAAGAATAGAAGCAGCTGACATTGCCTTTCATGCTATATATGTATATATATATATATATATATATATATTATGGTGAGAGTTACGTGAATTAGTAATTCAAATGTTCAAATCATGGTTAGTAAATTCCTTCAATATGGGATATTTTGATTGTATATTGTCAGTAAATTCTCATTGCATATCCATGCCTGGTTGTGTTTTATTTTGCCATGTCTGTTGTTGACAGGATATATTGGACTATAGGCCATTCTCTGCAGGCCGCTTTTCATTATGCAGCATGCACACCAGCATTGACAATATAGTGAGAGTTTATTAATGCTTTAGATTTGCAACACTCTTTCTTGTCTTGCTATGATGCTTGTGCTCATGGATTGAACGTGTGGTATAGTTTTATTTCGTGTTATTAAATGTTGGGACATAGCGTGTTATGTATACTTAGTGCCCCCAACCTTGGTCATTGGTCATTGCGATTCTGTTGTTGTTGCAGATGAAAGCGTCTTCCTCTTCAATTATTATGCGTCTGATTTTACTTGGGGAAACCTTAGACTGAAGAAGTTTGGTTGCGTGAGTTGCTTGTCAACATTGTTGATATTCTTATCTTAGGTAACAGTAGAGGTTGCATTTCATGGTGTACACAGGCAGTCTAAGTTATATGAATCTGTGATCTATCTATGGTGTGCTGGGTTATTGTTGGCGAGTTTGGTGGTGGTTTGCACTCCCATTGTTTGTACTGTTATCGGATGGATCAATAACCCTGGTATAAGGAGTTCGGACATGTGCAATGGGTATCTACTGGTTTCGCTAGACAGGGATTGGAGACTGGAGAGATACACAGGTCCGTCTGTTGACGTAGCGGGTGTTAGCGAGCAGTTGTGACATGGTAGGTCACTGTATATATTTTTTGTGATGATTTCTGATTAGTAATTTAATGCACTTTGATTTCTATCGATTCTTTAGATTATTAGAACTGGCTTCCAATGAGAAGCCTATGAAATGCGTTCGTTTTATGGTCAAAGCAAAAACATTAGATAACGGAGTATGGTGAGCAAACTTTCTTATTTACTGTTTATAGTTGCCTTATTTCAAAGGTTTTGGTTGACCAGGTGAATGTTGATCCGGTTAAGTATGCACCAATATTTTCTTGTATATTGCATACTATTCCACTTCTTGTTGGTTCCGTTCAATTGCTCATCAACCTTACTGGTTGTGGTTGGGTTCTTATAGCTTCTAATTACCAAACCTCAGATTGGTATGTCTGAAGTTTTCAAATCTGTAAACTTCCCCTTCTTTAGTTGTTTATGAAACCAAATCGTCTGGTTCGGTTCGGTTCGATGCGGTTTCAAACGATTTCGGTTTGGTTTCAAACCATTTACATACAAATGAAAAAAAGTTAACACACGCTAAGAGAGAGGTGTTACTGCTAAATACTAATTAGACTCTCGTCACCCTCGCCCCAACAAAGGGTCATAAGGATTCCTCTGCACCTTGATTACACACCTAACCAAATCAACTAGGCAAAGTGTGCAAGTATTAGAAGAGGCCTAACCAAATCAGATTGACAGAGTTTCAGCAAATAACAATAAAACAAATGATACACTTCTATCATTCTGTACCAAAATATTTTCAACCAGAGTAAACCAATTTTTACAAATTAAGGTACCCTAGTCAATATCTATTACCATTTCACATTCATCACCCCAAAAAAAACCCAATATTGAAGCCTTCAATACCTTGCCCAGAACCTGCCATCGCCGCCTAAGAAAAGTAATAATTGCCCAAACAGAGCAATTGAGATTTGAGGACAAAAAACATACGTATATGAATTTGATTTATGTGCATACATACATAGGAACCAATATTATGAAAATATTTTGTTCCTAATGCCAATTGAGACTAGTGAGCAGCACTGAGCAGGAAACAACTAATTAAATGTATGGAGTGTAACAAACAACTAATTAAAATATAACATCTAATATGGATATTTAATTAAAGGTTCTTTTAATATTTGTGGTGCTGTTTAGTTGTGGTGCGGTTTTCAAAAGCTAAAACCAAAACCAAACCATTTTCCTACACTGCGGTGCGGTTTGAAATCAGAACCGTTTTAAAACTGCAAAACCAAATCGTTCGGTGCGGTTCGATTTGATTTGTGTTTCGGTTTCGATTTTCGGTTCCAAGTGTCGTGTGCTATAATTTTATTATGGAGTCATCAAGAAGCTAAATTGGTAGTTTGAGGCTTCCGTAGAAATTCGATTCCTTTAGATACTGTTCCAGTTGGAAGCCTATCATATCAATTTATCAGGAATTTGACAGCATATGGTTTGAGCTACCTTAGCCTTTCCTCTACCCATACATGTTTTCTACTCAGCATCGTATCTCTAGCTTAAACATAAGTGGTGATATCCGGCCAATTCAATGCCTCCGCGACCTTTTCTTCTTTAATTATTGACTGGATGTGTTCTCACTTTAGGAACCTTGAACTGTGAAGGAGCCAAGTGGCAATATAGTTTTGTTCTTTAGATAATCGAGCCTATCATGTTCTGATCATAAGCTTTGGTTGTGTGTGAATTGATCATGTACTTTGCTCATTTTCTCTTATCTTCAGGAGAACGAGTAATTAGGAAACAGTGGTTTTCCCTGTCGTGGTGTTGACATGGTGCGGAAGTTTTGCGAATCAATGTTTCTTCTGTTCGAGTTGTAGGTGTTATTGTTGGCTAGTTGTGGTTGTGGTTTTCGGAGTAGGATTTTCTCCCCTCCTATTACCATCCCTTTCCATCCCCTCCTCTCACACTTTTCTTTTGTCTTGTTCTCTATATATAAAATTCAAAGCAAGATGTAGACGTGGAGTAATCGCAACCGTTTAAATAGAAAGGGATGGAAGGGAGAGAAATTAGGAGGGGAGAGAATCCTACTCTATGGTTTTCACTCCCATTTAGTCTAAGTTTAGGGGGTAGGATATGTACAGCAGGTACACTAGTTCTGCTAAACAATGGAGAGGAATTTAAAGCAGCTTTAAATGGGCATTAGTGAATTTTGACCTCTTTGGAATCTGGATCGGAATGGATAGAACACTAAATTAAGACACGTTGAAGCGAGAAATGAAATAATTATGTTCAACAGGTAGAAGACATGCAGAAAATGTTGGATTTTTGGATTGACGGGCCCTGGGGGCCCGCTGTAATGACACCGATACTGTTCTCAACTTTATCACTTTTCCCAATCCGCCAAGTGTGGGGTTTTACCATAAAAGGCCTCGGTATTAGTTAGAGTAGGGTAATCATATTTAAACCCATTGGTTTTCTTGTCACCCACTGATATGGGATTCCAACACTTCCTCTTAAGTGTGACCCCATTTAGTGGTTCACACATGGAGATTCACACATCAACAATTAAAACTCAGGGGACGGCATATGTTAAGAGTCCAGACTTGTTTTCAATGGAACTCAGAGGTCGACTCTATGTTAAGAGTTCTGGCTTGTTTCCTTGTTGGTGACAAGTTTATTGGCTTGCACGGGCCCAAACCTTGGCTCTAATACTGTTGGAGAGAAATTTCTTACGAGAAGAAATACCTCCACAGATTCGTTGACTGCAATCCTCACGTTCATGTTCGCCGAATCTCTCGCAAGAGGCGTCCCTGAACAATCTTCCTCTGTAGCTTGTGCGGGCGGGGTACCTGCAAAAGATACTCCGACGTTCAAGTCAGTCGATTGATTTTTGTTCTCTAGTTTTTCTCCGGGTATCCTTTCTTTTTCCCCCTGCCTATTTGGCTCTTCTCCATATCTATAGGATTGCATTCTTAGCGAACAAGTACCACGACTTTTCTTCCTCTCCTACTTCCTTTGTGGTCCTCCGTAATGAAGGCAGTTACTTTCTTTCCCACTTCCTCAATGGTCTTCCATAGTGGAGGCAGTTATCTAGACACATGCGTTTGTATACTCCTTGTAGGCTTTCCTCACATTTTATCTTGCACAACACCATCTTTGGGTGATTGGTATTGGCCCATGAGTCAAAACCGAATTTTATCCTCCCACAATGCCCCATTTTTCCCTTTTTTACGTATGTAAAATAGGGGAAAACTGATTTTTTCGATCACATGAGGCTTTGAAACTATACTTTTTAAGCCAAGCTAAAACTTTAAGCACTTCTTGCTAAGGCTGAAGCTAGAAACGCAGTGCAAGATGTGACCGGCACCAAGAGACAGCGTGTAGAAGAGGAAGATAAAGAGGGCAGCTTTAGTAGCGCGCCATCCAACAACCGTGTTGAGGTGACGAAAAATCAAGGCGAAGAGGATCACAAGGGAAAAAGGATTGAAGAAGGTAAAGGAGGTTGATTTGCGAGAGCAAATTGAGAAGATTGTGAGAGGATACAAGCCACAGACCTCGGTGGAACTTGCAATAGAAGCGACCAGAGGGATTTGCAAATCGCCGTTCACAGAGGACATCCTGAAAGCTAAAAAACCTACCAAGTTCACCTAACCAAAGTTCAAGCTGTTTGAAGGCACGACTGATCCCGTCGAGCATATTTACCACTTCCAACAACAGATGGCGTTTGAAGGAGACGACGAGGCCCTCTTGTGCACGTTGTTACCCTCAAGTCTTTTGGGATCATCTTTAACTTGGTTCAGACAACTGAAACCGAGGTCTATCGGAAGTTTCATAGAGCTTTGTGAAGCATTCACATCTCAATACGTTTGCAATCGAAGGCTAAGAAAAGATGTTACAATTTTTTTCAGCACCAAACAAAATGTTGGCGAAAGCCTCAAAAGCTACATGACTAGGTTCACGGAAGAAATGTCCACCTTATAAGAATGTGATTCTCACACAACGTCTTTGGTATTCCGAGAAGGGGTGTTGCTTGGAATGAAGATGCGCAGGTCATTGATCGAAACTCCACCATTGGACATGAGGTAGGTGATGGCCCGAGCTGATGGAATCATCAGATTAGAGGAAGAAGAACTTATTCAGTCAAAGCGGGCTACAACCATTATTGCTGCATCTCCAACGGGCACTACCATTCCTATCTTCAAGCCCATGACTTAACCGAGGCAAGAAGGAAGATTCTCACGTGATCTGAAAGATGGGTTTAATGAAAGATCTAGGCCTGATTGCCCACACACCAAGCTAATAGTAAGCTTGGGCAAAATTTTCCATGAGAACAAAGGAAAGGGAATCTTTTGTGCTCCAACACTGATTTGAGCATCGTTAGAGAAACGAGACAGAAACAAGATGTGCGCTCATCACAATGACTTTGGTCATACCACCAATGATTGTCAAAGCCTAAGGAACCAAGTGGAAGCTATGCTGAAAAAGGGGATGTTGTCACAATACCACGTAGAATTAAGGGACGAACGTAAGAATGACGAAGGACTTAAAGGAATAACAGGAAACTTGGGGCTCATGAGAGGTTGTTGGATATAAATGTTATACATGGTGGACCCCAACTTCCTGAAGGATGCGAAGCATGCTCTCGGTCGCAAAGCCAAGAAGTCTAGACGTGTGCACAACATAACATCAGCCCCTAAAGCGTCCAAAGCATTAGAGAATCTCGAATTCATTTCCTTTAGCCAAAAAGACCTTGAAGGAATTCAATTCCCTCACAATGATGCACAGGTCGTGACGTTACACGTTGCCAATTCAAGAGTGAAAAGGATAATGATTGATGGGGGGAAAAAAGAGAAGAGACCCAGAGAGAAACCAGAGAACAAAAATCAATTGATTGAATTGAATGTTGGATTATCTTTTGCAGGTACCCCACCCGCACAAGCTACGGAGGAAGATTGTTTGGGGACGCCTCTTGCGAGGGATTCAGCAAACATGAACGTGAGGATTGCGATCAATGAATAAGTGGAGGTATTTCTTCTTGTAAGGAATTTCGCTCCAACAGATACTATGTTGGTATTCAGACTATCTTCAATCAAGCTTCATAAATCATGCGATACAAAAATTGTTCTCAACTTTGTCCTCCAGAAGTCATAATTCACTCCACTGAAGATAGGAGTTTGAATTTCTCCATTACTACTTGAACCAGCCATGAATTTGAAAATTTTGATTCTAGGGTTTCACTTAGAATTTTCCCCATCTTGAGAATCAAAAGAGGCCCCACTCTTTGATAAAATTGGCTCTGATACCATGTCGGATTTTTGGATTGACGGGCTCGGCCCCACTTTAATGACACCAATAATGTTTCCATCTTTACCACATGCCCAATCCGTCAGGTGTGGGGTTTTAACATAAAAGGCTTTGGTATTAGTTAGAGTAGGGTAATCATTTTTAAACCCATTGGTTTTCTTTTCACCCACTGATGTGGGATTCCAATAGAAAATTATTCATTTCGATACCATCCAAAACGGTAGGATTAGAATAAATGAGTTTCCTTCATGTCTAATTCTCTTCTAATCCCCTTCAAATAAAAAATCATTCAGTTCTACCTTCAATATACCTTTAAGTTTTGGGGTTATCCATTCTAATCCAATCCTGGAAACCAAACAAGGCCTCCATTCATAAGGGATGCTTGTCTGAATTCTCTTTTTCTTAGGCGTACTTGTTTCTATTCACTTTTAGCTATAGTTCTAGATATAACTGTCTCTCATTGATTTCCACCTTTTTTCAATGTGGTCTGGAAGTGTTCTACTCGAAGAACCATGAACTGGTAAACCATGCCTATAACTTGTCTTTTGATAAGGTTATTGTTTGTGAGTGAATTGCTCACGAACATTGACGATCTTCTCATCTCAAAGCAAACTAGTTGAAGCGAACAGTTGACTTTGCCTTTTATGGTATAATTCATTCATGCTAAAATCTGGCGAATCAGGGTCCTTCTATTGTCCGTGGCAGGCTGTTTAGGGAGATTTTGTGACATGGTTTCACCTACAAGGTTAGTGTTTTCTTTTAAAAATGATATATTCTTAGTACTTTCATCATGTCTATGATGGTTTGCCCTCTCAAGAAGCCCAATTGCTTGTCACTTGGATTTCCATCGATTCTTCCATTTTCTCAACACTTTGCTTGAATGAATGAATGCATGTCAATTTTTCTGAATATAGCCTTGTAGAATACATTGGTATGTTGGATAATCTTTTCTATTTGTAATGGTGGTGTAAACACGAATTTTCCTAAAATAAGAACATGTGTACAAAATAATATTTTGTATTAATTTTGGGGTTATGATATCTTTTACAATTTGATCCTCTGATTCTATCTTCATAAGTGTATATCTGTGGATGGGTTGTTGATCCAATGGGTTGTCGGGGCTTGGTTTAGGGATGAACAGTTGTGCGTATTTGTTGATGTTGTTGATCGAAAGGGCCGTCGGGGCTTGATCTTAGGATGAACAGATCTTTAAGGGCATTCGGGGCTTGATTTAGATGAACAGTTGATGAACGGATCTTCAAGGGCTTTTGGGCTTGATCTTGAAGAACGGGTGTTTGGATTTGTTGATGTTGTTGATCCAAAGGGCCATTGGGGCTTGATTTTAGGATGAACGGATGATGAACGATGACCACTTTCTTCAAGGGCCGTCGGGGCTTGATCTTGAAGGAGGATTTGACGAAGAACGAAGAGCGCTTTCTTGATCCTTCGGGATTTGCTTGAGAGCTTTAGAGTTTCAAAGCTTCAAGGTTTTGGTGTGATGTGAATTGGTCCTTGATCCCTTGATGGAGAAGCCTATTTATAGACTTTGAGAATAAATCACCACCATTCTTTTTTTTGGTGAAGTAAGTGGATGATGTAGGTGAAATGAGTGGAGGTTATAGGTGAAGTAAGTGTATGATGTTGATGAAATGAATGGAGGTTGTAATTTTAATGCATTGGTCAACATTTATTTCACCAAAATTTCGATGTCTACACGGTGGTAATTACTTTAGCAGCTCAAGCATGAGTACTAATATCTCTTAACTGTGTTTAACCTATGAACTCAACGCTTTCATGATATTGCGTTGTGTATCTGAATAGGTTTTGTTCCAAACGTTATCAAAATCACATTGTTCTTGACGTTGAATGAAACATAGATTAACAAGGTTGCAGTCTCAGATTACCCTTCTCACATTGTTCTAAAATGAATGCATTACCTTGTTCCAAACAGAGATTAACAAATTTACATTACAATACAAAATACAACACAATACATAGATTAACAAAATTACATTGTCCCGAACGTTATAAAATTACATTGTTCTTCTGCATTCCTGCATGAGGTTATTGGTTCAATGAGCTATCAAAATAAAAAAAAGCTTACATTTTGCCTTGCTATGTAATAGATAGTTTTATATGTGGCTGATTTCATATTTTGGTGAAAGGGTGGATAGTAATGCATATCGATTTATCCCGAGTATGACAGCACTACAGAATGAAGTAGTATGGTTGAGCTAACCATGTATTACATATTTTCTACTCGGCATCACTTTTATAACTTGAACACAAGTGGTAATGTTTTTTACTAGATTGAACCAACCAACTCGATACTTCCACTATTTTTGAAATTGCAGGTGTCTCTATCCCAACCTTGATTGTCGTTGATTATGTTTCATTGTGGATGAAATATTTTTCCTCTTTAAATAAAACACAGGTTAACAAGTTTGCAGCCTCCGATTGCCATGCTCGCCCTCTGGAGGGCATTGAATTCGTACTAATTGTTCTTCACTGGTGCACCTATATTGGCATATCAACTTCTTACTGTACGTGAAGGTGATTACATATATGGAGATATCTACACTGCTTCAACATCGTCAAGGTGAAGTTTTATTTTCATGAATATCGAAATTTACGTTACAATTATACAACTAATGATATCTAGCACCGAGTGTCTTCATGTACAGTGATTCATTGGGAAGCTTATAAGATCGGGCTTTAGGTTTGATTGTAATGTTCCAAGTCCCATCCCGTTCACTTCCAAATTTCTCAACTCCGTATCTGATTCCTCAAATGTCAATTTCGCCGATTGAACTTGAATCTCATGTTGAATTATCGAACCATAACCGCCTAAAGCATTGCTCTCCGAGTTACGCCCATGAGCACTAATCTCTTCCTCCTGACCCTGCAGGTTTGTACCTAGCTGAGACCAAGTCAAATCGTCTTGGTGATGGAACGGTGAGTCTGAACCTTCGTTATCAAAATAAGACATTCTTGGTAACGTTCGAACGCTTTCAGTGTCCTGTTCGGATTGATAGTTGCGTAGTAGATGAACAGGGGACATGGCATGCGAGGGAGTGCCCGATGCACTGGCTGGACTTACATTCTTGTTGTGTTTTATGTGTTTCTTCGCTGTGATGTGCCATTTTTTGAGTGCGGTCGCCACTCGGTCATTGAAGATTACAGGCTTCATAGTTGAACCCATCTGTTTGTATGTACAAAGAAATTTATAGTTAAAACTTACTTAGTCCATAATTCTTAGTTTAGCATCTAATTTTGCCCCACGGGCACTTAATTTACCTGTGTTACCAACGCATAAAGTGGAAGAGTTACATAGCTGCACAGGATTTGTATAACGACTCTGCAGTAAATAACCCGAATGAATGGATTTGGTAAGTTAAAGTGTCACGGTAAATAAGTTTTTCTGCAAGATTTGAGTGAAAAATAAATACAGAAATAAAACTCACCCCATTGATATTCTTAAAACGACATCTTCTAACTTCTCATGGAAGCAAGACTTCAACCCAAATTCATACTGCAAACAAGAAGAAAGATGGAATCTTACCTGTGGGATTTTGTGAGGTAAAAAGTAAAACATGTTCCCAAATGACAAGCGACTCGTGAAAGTAAATATGGGTTTTACAGTTTTACGTACCCAAGTCCATGCAAAGAAAGCAAGCGCAAAAGCATTCTACAAGACAGAATGAGATAAAACATAAGAGTGTTAGCAAAATTGATGAGAAGCAAAAATGCAACAAATACGCTTCGAGAAGCAGTTTTCACACTCTTTTTTAGCTCCACACGTCAAGTTGAGTATTTTTCTTAAGTCAGGGACGGAAGAAGTGCAAAGGCTAAAAGCGGAGCATTAAAATCACTAGTAAATTCAAATGGCAAGAAAGTGAATTACCTGGAAGAGAACAAAGTGGATGATGTAAAGAAGCAGGCGAGGGTTGTTGAACCAGAAGAGATGGTCACCAGGCTCAACCAGCGGGGTCCCCTTAACCACTTCACCTCTTTCTGATAATTTCAGTCCCATCTTCGTTATTATAACTTGCAGCTTTGTCCCTACCATTAAGATCATCTGCACAATCAAAGCCATATCAATGATCAGATATAAACAATATCCAAGTTGGTGGGACCTGGGACTTTGAGGAAAGGGATCGGACGGTGGTGATTGGTGCTTACAACTAGGGGAACAAATGGGAGCCACAGGTATGAACGTGAGCCTGCAAACAACAAAAAAACAGTAGTAAGAATATCATTAGGGAGTCATTTTTTTATATTGTGAAGCATAATGTAACAATGTTGGCCATTATCAATAATTTTAAAAGTCTCGGTGTAGTTAGGAACTAAACTATTTTTCTGTATTGTAGCTTTTCCTTTAATTTCTGGATGTGGAGTTCTTCAACAGATAACTAAAATTTAATTTTGAAAAAGCAAAAAGGTTTACTAATAAAGTGAAACTTACCGTGGGTATTAGACATGAGGAATAATACAGAAAATAACCAAAGAGTTGGGCTGCAAGTATGAAAAGAAATTGTTAATCTCAGATGATATTTTTGAAAGCTGAAGTATTAGTCTTGCATATTATACTATTATGGTAACATAAAGCATCCTAATATTCTAAAGGGCATGTTTCGTAGTGCTTTTAAAAGAGTTAAAAGCGCTTTTAAACAATCATAAGCCCTTTGGTCCTTCAAAAAACAAAATGTTGCGTGTTTTTTCGTTGAATCTTTTGATTTTACTTTATAAAGTTTGTTGTAATTCTCAACAAAATGTTTAATGAGTTGAGCAGAAGTGTTCTCTACGAAATCACCCTAGCTAAACAGCCCTAAAATATTCCTCGTAGTCAGGTGACTAATGTATTGGATTGAAATGCCAAGTACCCCCACCTGATCCCTACGACAACCTTGAAATCCTCTTCAAGTGACCTGTTAATGTACTTCTGGAAGTCAAACTTAGTTTGACTTTGAGGAGCCAAATGTGCCTGCAAACCATGAGCAGAAAACTTAGTTTAATTTCATGCAGAAAAAAATAATGAATCACAATTTTTCAGCTCCAAATTTTGTAGTAAGAGACTTACAGCAATAAACCCATGGCGCAGAGTTAGGTAATCAACTTTGGGCACGGATCTAAAGAACTGCCTGAAGAAGCAAACCTGCAATTTAAAGTTAGTACTTGACATAAAATTAAGAGATTTTATATGTAAATACGCACAAATATAAACGGATAAAAAGTAGAACTTGAAGGACGTTAAACCGACCTTTTGTATTAATGCTAACGTCCTAGTGTTCTTCGAATTTCAGTTTAGATTAAAAATTTGTAAGTAGTTTTATTTGCGTATTATTTATCGTACAAATTACAAATAGACTACGGAAAACACTTACAATCCATAAGCTAATGGGAGAGCGGCTCCAAAAGCTCAAGTGTCTTCTTCCAAAGGATGTGTCTCTGGCAAATCTGAATCTTTCCGGGTCTACAGCATAAATAAAGTAATATATTAAAAAAAATTAGTAATTAGTACAATTAACTAATAAAGTAGAAAATTATGGTCAGAAACAATTGGATTCCTGGTATCTGGTCAAACTTCAAAATATCAGATTACGTGTGAAAACTGAAGGTAGCATACCATGTGAGAATTGGTAGTCAGCTGTCTTTGTTTCCAGTTCCCATATTTTCCATCTTCTCATCTGCATCCCATCCCCAAAAATTTGAAATTATTAATTTTGAGAGAGAGAATTAAAAAATAAAATAAAATAAGTAGAGAGAGAGAGGGAGAGATTGATACCTTTGCTCTGCCCAACACTAGGGTTGTTATGCAGTAAAGCACGTGAAAGACGGCTAGCACGAAGATGAGTATGTGAAGCTGGTGGACTCCATAAAATGACACAAATGGAACTTTGTTCTGCAGAAAAATTACAACATACTTTGTTGAGATAAAAGAAAAACAAAAAATTGCCAGACTAACTTCATGCTTGATTTGCATGAAATAAAAGATACGCTTACTTGGTCATATATTGACATCTTCATGCCAACTCTAGTTTTACTCATTATACACCCTATAAATTATTTGTTCAACTAATATCTTTGCGTGAGCATCTTGTCATAATATTCTAAATCACACATGTGAATGAGGAATGTTGTTCCAAATCGACAGTTTGACAGAATAACATGAAAATTTTAATTTAATTTGAAACGTGAAAGACTATTTAGCAACACAATCTGCCAAGAGATTGATGTCAGTTCTCTATATATATGTATATTAACTTTGTCATATTTTAGAAAAAGGGACTTTTAGATTTTAGAACTTCAATAAGATTTTTAGATTTTAATCTAAATGGTTTTCAAAATCTAACATAAGTCCCTATTTTTAAAGCTTACCATATTTAAGTATTTGTAGCACATTTATTATTTATAAACTTACTATTCAAAATTCTTTACCCATCTATAATTAATGTATTTTTTTTGTGCTCCAATCATATTAATAGATAAAAATTTATTCAAAATTCAAATTCTTATTATTAAAAAAAATTCAACAACAAAACAAAAACAATTTATATCGGTACATAACTATCAGTACTTTATTTTATTAATAGGTACGAGAGTACCGATAAATTTTCAGTACGAATGTATCGGTACATAACTTTAGGTACCTTATTTTATTCATAGGTACCGAAGTATTGATACATAAACTTTGGTACAAATGTATTGGTAGATAACTTTCAGGTATGAATGTATCAATACAAATTATCGGTACGTAATTATAGTAACTAAATATACATATGTACGTAATATGCATATACATATATATGGAGAAATTCATGCACAAGAAAAAATATATGATAATATGTGACTTTTCTTATTATGAGAACTTAATAATAATTATCAATGATAAATAACATTTTTATTATTTATGGGAATCAATATATAACCTACAAACAAAAAACTCAATAATTATTACAACGTATTTAAAATTCAAAAATCACAATTATGTACCAAGGATTAGAATTAGTTTTTAATCTTGGACAAGATTTTATTCAAAAAGTAATCTTAGATAAGGATAAGAATAGAATTTTCCGTTTAGAAGGGAAAACTAAAAGCATGGAAATTTAGTGTACCTTGGCTGCACATTTGTCATATCCGCTGGCTGCTAAAACACGTCGTCCACCCCCATTGGAATCCAAGGCTGAGAGAAGCCTTCTGTGGGCGTTGTTATCTGAATCACTACTCTTATCTTCGCCCTTGTCTGATTTGACCTCGTGCTTCTTACTGCAAGGATGCCAAGTTGCTCCAACAGCCTTCGATATACAAATATTTGAAATGGGGCCTTGTCCTACTGTTAGAAGCAAAGATAGGAACCCTAATAGCATAAGCTCCGCTTTGATCTTCTCAAGAGCTTCATAGAGAGCTCTTTTGTTTCTCTTTGTTAACCACTGCAGAGAGTACATGCAATTAAAATTTAATCAATACACCTCATTTCACATTCATAATAAACCCAAAAGTAGCTTCATAAGATCAATTTAAGTAATTACGTACGGACCTTTGCAATTAAATGAATGAAATATTCGATGAGGATCGAAATCAAAACCAAAACAAAACAAACAACGGCAACTGCCCAAGTTGGTGTTTGCTCCAAAGATCTTCCTTCTTTTCCTCCCGCCATCCTTTAATTGAAACCCTAATTTTCCTTACTACCAGATAATGCTATTGCACTAGAAATTAACAATGGTATTTATGAACTTTTATTTAGCTAGCTAGCTAGCTAGGTAGTAAGCGAAGAGATAAGTTTATATAGACATCACGATTTTCAAAGAGAGAGCCAAAAGAAGAAGACTTGGCGTTTCAAACTTCAACTGGGGTGCTGCGATATAAGATGTCTGGAGGACTATAGACTTTGACTGTGTATTAACAAACATGGACAAAGAATACTGTAAAGAGTAGATCCTGGATTGGAACTTGGAAGAGTTTAGTCGTGAAGATGGAGAAGGAGATGGGTTTCAATCACTTATATATTGATATATCCCTAAGCATATTGTAGTTGACTCCAAGAAGATATTCTTTGACCAGGTACAATAAGGCTGTTAACGTAGCTGGTAGAGAAATTTTGTGTGGACGGAGAACACTGGCAAGTTGAAACGTACTAGTCATTTTCACGTGTTCTAATATTGTTGGATGAAAAGTTTAATATGTCTTATTTTTAAATTATATTGATAAATGACAAATACACGTGTTATAATTTAAGTAATTATTACATCATATTGCATTGTTCTCAATGCATCAAAAAGTTATTCACTCAAAACGCAATGTGTTATAAAGTTTCGAAACACATGGTTGTAACCCCTAATCAAATCAAATAAGAGCTAAAAAAGAAAAAGGGGAGATTAGATTACCTTATCTTTGGGTTCTTTGTTGTTGAAAACAAAGTTTTCTTCTTCATGTGAATATAAATGCATCATAATCGTATTCTGTTGAACCCTTAATTAAAATATGGAGCTGGATCCTCTCCTGAGCTCAGGATGGGATCCTCTTGAGCAGCCCATCTAAGCCGTTGAAATTGGATCCAACGGCTTCAAACAGAAGGCCCCTCTAAAAGTTATAATAATTACAGTCGTTGGATTAAGTTTGAACGGTCCGGATGGGCTGGTCATGAGGATCCCCATCCTGAGCTCAGGAGAGGATCTAGTTCCTTAAAATATATCTGCAGAACCATGCAATTTGTAATTCTTTATATATATATATATATATATATGCCGGTTTACAACCGTAGCTTTTGATCTGCTTGCAAAATCCACAGGGAATGGGGGCCAGTTCTAGATGAAAACTGTACGTTATATATTGTCTATATTAATAATTTTCAACTCCTATCAATGTCCATGTGATAATTAAAAGACAAAGAATGCTGACTAGATAATGTTTATTCCAGGATGGAATTTAACATATAGTATAAGCAAGTGGTGTAGCAATATAGTCTCTATTATTTCTTAAGTTGGAATTACTCCATGAGACATTATTCAGAATAAGATGCCTCTGCTCTACGGAATATATCGTGATGCCTTACATCTGCATGCATGTTGTGTTATTTAATAATGTGCTTATATATGAGCAAACTAGGGATGTCTTTTTTCCCACAACAAACTAATGATGTTTTAAGATTCAAAGTTATATCAGTTAGTCTGACGAACTAGCTATTGGATACACATGTTATATGCCATGTCAAAATGCCACCTAGGCAATAGTAGCTTAAGTCCTGAGAATGAGGATCCTCTTTGTGAGGATCCGAGGATCCTCCAATCACGTCCGTGTAAGAGCAACCATATAAGCTCTATAACAAACTAGCCAAGAACATAAGATTTAACCAACTAAATCACAATCATCACTCCAAATATTCTGTATATGCAAATACTGAAGTAATATCTGCAACACATACCAGCAAAACTGTTTGCCGAAGTCTTTTCCGTGTGTTCTGTCATAATAGTCCTTCATAGTTTGTTGTATGATTGGATTTGTTTCTGTACCAACGCAAGGCTATCATGTTTCCTCCCTCATCTGTCCTGAACCCGACATGCATCGGCTGATGAATATCTCCCACAAAGTGTGACAAGAAACCAAGGTCTCAGCCATATTATATCGACGGTCAGATGTGCCTTCTGTGTAGTGTGAAAACTGAGAGGTGACGTCTTGGACGGCACCAGCAACACACATGTTCTTTACGGCATTGATCACAGGAAAGAATAGTGCTAGACACCATATCATAACTATGTTCAACAAATTAGGATTAAGAGCCATTAGAGAAATCTACACACAACCTTCTCCTCTCTGCAAAACTCAATGCTCTCCAAGTTATAGGTAATTGGAACAATAAGAGCGTGTTTTTGTGAGAGCAGGGGCTTGTGGTTTTTATACTACAAAATATGGATTACCCTATAATAATCCTACAAGGAATACAAGACCAAATCCTTGTACGAGTTCTATTCTTAAGCTTATCAACACAGAGTTTCAATCCAAACCAAAGTCGAATTAACTCTCATAAACATATTAAGACTTCTTATAGCAATCCGAGACAACAAGGATTATTACCAAAAAGTATGAATCACACTCATACTCTAACAGTCCGTTCATTGTACATTGTGAGGTCAGAAATTATTGTAAATTTTCTTTTATTTAAAATTGAATATAAACAGTACCTCACAAAAACTGACCGCACAATATATGATGAACAGATGTGATTAGAGGATTCCCGGAATCCTCACAAAGAGGATCCGGAGAGGATCCTCATTCAAGTCCTAAGTCATTGTAATTGAAATATAGTATAAAAGTAGTTTTCCCACCTTGTATTTGTTTAAGTCGGTTGTAATACACAAAACAGTTATCAAATATACAAAGCTTCTCTCTATCTTTCTCTTCAAGCTTCTTCCTTCTAGGTTTTCTGGTTTTCATATAGATTTCTTTTACAAAGCTCAATTAACTGTGTTAAGACAAGCTCTGATTGGATTTAGAATTTAGGGTTTTAAGTAATAAAAGATAATCAACGAAGTCTACAATGGTGTAGTTATGATTTCTGACTGTTAATGCATTGGGTTTACATTGCATCAATACATGTTAACTCAGCTTGCAAGTGGCCCTTTACCATAACGGTGAAAATGTGTTGTGCCCTTGCATGATGGGGCATGTTTGAACCCCGTCAGTAGCTAATCTAACATCTAACTTATCAGTTCCTAATGCTATCACTCGACTCCAAAAAAAAAAAAGGCTTAGCTCACTTGAGTGGAGATGACTAACCCAAGCATTGTTCGTCCTCCTTTTGATCATAAACACAAAACACGATATCAACTAAGAATGTAAGTAGATGACAAAACTTGCAAAAATAGAATTGAAAAAAAATTGAAGCAAATTATGAACTACAAAACGTTTGCTTGGGGGAAATAATATGAGTGGTAACAACTAATGAGACATCCAAAACAAAGTGACTGTGTCATGCCCATTAGCACATGGGGTGTGCTATTCACACATCCATTTTTAATTTCTGTCATTTGATCTTCTTCAATTCATCCGATCCGATGACTGAAAATTAGAAGAATATGTGAGAAGTAATGAAGAATGTATGAATATCACACCCCTTAATGCATTACTCAGTCTAGTATAAAGTATAAACCTTAATCCAAAAAGTGGCCACAATTTCAATGAAAGTAACCTTGCGATAGTAAAAATAATTTAAATCATTTTTTATTTTATCAATAATCATAGTTATCTTGTTCACCAAATAAAAAAGAAGTTATCCTTTTCACAACTTTGAACACAGCCTCGGGTCGCTGTACGTGCAGGTACCAAATGTTATTTTCAAGGGGAGAGATCCGGACTGTTATTTTCAAGGGGAAGAAATCCCATCCGGATCTCTCCCACTAAACTCTAAGGATCAAGAGATCCGGGTCCTTGAAATTTAATCCAACGACTACAAACAGGAGATACCTCTAAAAGTTATAATAATTGTAGCTGTTGGAACAAATTTCAAGGGTCCGGATCTCCGGATCCCTAAGATTCGGTGGGAGGGATCCCTAGGATCCGGATGGGATATCTTCCCATTTTCAAGACCGTCATAATATGTGTATTATATTTGGAATAAGGATCCTCTCCGGATCCTTTTTGTGAGAATCACGAGAATTTTTAAATTGTGTCTGTTTTTCGTATATCGTGTTGACAAAAATCAGTTTAAATACTTTTATTTAAAATTAAATATAAATAGTACCTGACGAAAATTGATCACACAATGTACGATGAACATACACGATTTGAAGATACCTAGAATCTTCACAAATAGAATCCAAAAAGGATCCTCATTCTTATATTTGCCCTATATAAATGTCAATATGATTGGCTCACCATTGATTAATTGTACTTGAATTCTCTCCCTTACCATTTCTCTCCCTTCCTCTTAAATTAAAATATTTGATGGCTTAAAATTGTCACTTATTTAATGAGTTTCATTTTATTTTTTATTGCTTTTGTTCAATCGTTCTTTTTCTCCATTCATGTCCACGCCACTATTTATCCTTATTCTTCTATAGACCAGCCATGATTAATTTTTTAGGTCCATCTTGACGCCGTAGCAAAGCTTGATAGCTATCTTGAAGGTCTTAGAATTGTCGGGAAGTTCGAGAAAATTCTTGGATTACGTTATCATCGTTCTTGTCAAATTGTTCAACTACTCTCACATATGGTACACAACAAAAAAGAAGTAGAACTGAGAGAAATAGAAGAATAAAGAATCCTCCTCCGATGTAATTTGGCCTGGTGTTAAGGGTATTCCTACTCCCCAACTGCTATCCATTATAAAACGTGTTGCAAGTCGGAAAAGCATTTTTTGTTTAATTATATGGCGACCAAGCACCCTTGACAATCTCTTGAAAATACGTACCATTTATGAAATTGACAAAGTACAGGTTAATTACACTCGTATTAGGAAAAAAGTGTATTTTAGAGCCTGGAACTTACATTACTGCTTTTTTAAATAAAAGCAACAATGGAGGTGAAGAAATCAGGATGAGGATCCTCTCCGAATCCTCTTTGTGGGGATTCTAAGGATCAGTGGCAGAGTCAAGATTCTAGGTAAGAAGGGGCCTCACATAAATGTTAAAAAAATAAATAAATAGATGGTATTTAAAAGAGAGTATAATTCATAGTTGTACATAGTTGGAGTTGTGGGCTAATTAAGTTTTTTTAGCTCTAAATGTTTTTTCTATATTGAAGTTAACCTCCCAATATCAAGCCAATAATCAATAAAAAATGAAAGAGGATTAAAAGAAATTAACCTTCCAATATCAAGTCAATGAAAAATGCTAGGGATACCATTTTTTGGAGACTACATGATGGGTCTGTTGATGATTAAATTTCTTCTTTAATGATTTAAAGAAGTATTCCAACCATTAACTGCTATATAATCATGTGGTCTCAAAATATGGCCAAAGCCTAAAGTAGAGGTGTCTCTAGCATCATCCCAAGTCAATATAGAATAAACTGAGCGAACCA